ACAATCAAACCGATAAAAATTAACAAGCACTGAGGTTAAGGCAAACAAAGGACCTACGCTGCATCTCACACATCATCAAAATGTGGGAAAAATAGACATTCACGCTTCCAAAAACCAAATTTAGTCAAGCAGATCACTAAACATAGACTAGCTCCTGCTTAAATCGATGGCAGAGAAAAGAACAGTTTTGAGGACATCAGAAGGGTTATCATACCTTCATTTGACTTAGCACAAATGCAAACAATAGACGTCCACGCAATTGGTATTCAAGTCGAGTCGAACAGTAGAGAGGCAATAAAACCGAGGTCGTATAACTGCACTTCTGCCAGACGCCACATTTTCAAAGTGACTTATATAAAACTGCCCTGACCTCATAGGAGGTCAAGTGAGTACATTAGAAGTGACAACTGTTGGAAAAGGAATAATTTGGAGGCAACAGATAGCAAGTTAAAGCAGAGGCGACAGTTATTATTCATCGCATTATCAGAAATTCACCCAGGCCAGAACCCCTTAAGGTAAATCAGTAGGTGTATCCAACACCCACGATTCCATATGAAAGACTCCAGGTAATCAGGTAATCAGGTCATAGTACGCAGATAACACAGCAACGTTTAGGTAGGGCAAGAATAATTGGCACCGATTTCAAAGATGAAGTAAGTGAAACATCATATATTTGCTGCCATGATCCATACAGGCAAGAGGCCATCCAACACACTATTGCATGCATATAGAAATAATGCGGACATTTCAGAGAATTTGTAACGAAGGAGTTACTAGGACTACTACTTTACTGACTGACAAGAAACAACTCTGAAATCCCCCGAAATTCCTAAAGGTACTATCACACATGGAGCAAACACGTGGATTATCAAGATTGCAGAAGACAATCGACCGTCACAACACTTACACTGCCGACCAGAAACATCTTGCTTCCATGCTAAGCTCTAAACTAGGTGCTACCAACTATCCGAAACGAAAAGAATACACGCCACTCGTGTGTGATACACTAAAATTAAGTGTTTTTGAGGTGAAAGGCTGAAAAAAGGAGCTAACTTCCTCTCCTGGAATAGTGCTAAGTAAACATTTACCTGCCAAGGATAGAGAGTACATTAAGTGGAGTTTGACAACTTTTCAGTGGAGTATTTCACATAAATCCGCCAACCAAATATCTGCAGTCAAACACACCAAACGATCAGATTTCGCTCCCAATCGAGGCTAGGAAAGCAATCCGTGTATCACCTTAGTGTTGCTGTAGCATTCACATGCCTTACGCTATTCGCGAAATAACCTAATCATCAATGCCGTACAGAACGTTTTGGAAACTAACTAACTGGTCAGGTACAAACCACCTTTCTGGGTGGGATGAACTCGACATTTACGAATAAAG